CACATTAGAAACAAGGAAAAAAATGGCTTTGAAAGCAACTGATTTATTTTCAAAGTTTGGTATATTGACATCACTCACACAGCTTAAAAAGTATATTCAAGAATGATTCCTGTGCTTGTTAATATGAACCATATTTCCACTGAATTTCCTCCACCTCCTTTACCCAATGTACACAGAATGAGAGATCATTAATGCATTATGCATATCTGTCAATATCTAAGTATAAAATCTGTGTAGATGGTAAATAAATATTTCCACTCTCTTCATATAAAACACACACTGAAAGGAGCAGAGTTTTGAAGAGTAAGAACTTGCAGAAAATAAGAACATTTCCGATACTGTAACAAAGCAAAAAAAGTTACTGAGCAGCAGGCCCAAGGAATTACATTCATTCAGATGATAATGTGTGTTAGGTCAGTTGTCTTTTTCTAAGAAAAAGGCGTTTGACCCTTTTGGTGAATGAAGTTCACTAAATTGCTTCCTGTTTCAGAATCTGAAACCACAGGGTGAACATCCTCAAGAAATCAGTTTACACTGAATATGGCCAAAGAGGATGCTTCAGGAGCTGCTTGTATTAGACGAAACTTGATTTTCCACTGAGTAGGGGTTGAAAGATGAAAGATCATGAAACATAGACAAAATAACAGTACAGGCAATGACTCCTCTGCTTTAGAAGTCACAAACCCCATAGAAATGAAAAGGTGTCTGGATTCACCTTCTGTATCATAGCAGGAAAGATATTTAAGTAGAATATGTTTCTCTTTGAACAAAAAAACACTAAGAAGCATCAAAAGAAATAAAGAAATAATGAGCAGAAAGAAATCAGCCATTCCAGCCTGTTGCTAATTCTATAAGAAAAAAATAAAGTTTGCAAAAATGATTAATAATCTGTAAATGAATAAGTGGTAAGCTTTCAAAATAAGAGGAAGAAAAAAATAAAAAAAACAACCCAAAAAAGGCCTTTTTGAAGTATCTTATACTGCATATACTCTTGGGTTTGATCACTTTTCTTTGTCTGTTTTGAAGTTTTGAATGGGAACCATTGGGTGATAGCAAATAAAACACATGGGAAGTTCACAGAATCAGAGCTGCAGTATGGCTCAAAGTCAGATGGCAAACATTAAACATTTGCTTTTTAGACGTGCCATTTCAATGCTACTAGAAAGGTCCCTTTGACCATATCCCCTAGTCCTGTATAGGTATGGCACTGCCAAAGACAGCCCAGCTCCACAAAAACATTGACAGAATTACAAAACATTGAAGACAGACATAGAAAGTGGTTAGATATTCTCATTTAAGTATTTAAATTTAAATTTTACTTAGATCTTATTTAAATGTTTAGATGTACTGTTAAACGTTGTAGTTGTACATGTCACATTACGTAAGTACGCAATTGTCTTTCACTCATTCACTTATTTTTCTTTATTAGTTTTCTTATCTCGGTAGAGAGAGGCAAGTTTCAAGACAGATCTCAGTCACTGAGGACAAGTGCTTAAAGGAATAAAAATTAAAATTATTTTTCTTTTATTCCTCATCTACTAAAATAATGTAATTTAGATAGATTGCATTTTCTCCAAGTTTTGTTGATGCTATGAGATTAAAAGCTCTTTTTTTTTTTTTTTTTTTACATTTTTTGTGTCTTTTATGGCAACATTAACACGAAGTCTGACATGTTTGATTTTCAGTTATTAGCAACAAGTTTGTAACAATTTTTGAAGTGCTACCAGTGTCTATTGTGTCTGCACTGGGAATATAAATTATCAAATGCTATCAAAGACAAAGACAATCACTGTTATTTCCATGAATTTTCTGGGTCCATCAGATTGCTATTCTGCATGTGTAGGATTTACAAATGTATGTGGCGTTTTTAAAATGAAACAACTTACTTATAACGGGTACTGCTTTGTAACATAACTACTCTGTTAATGCCACAGTTTAGCTAGAAAACTCATGGCTGAAATTTTCACACTTAGGTGTATATATTATTCAACACAGCAATAAAAATCTCTGGAAGGTAAATCCCCTTTTTCAAAAGAAAATCTACCTGTCCCTGTGTTTCAGGAAACAATAATAAATTCTTGCCACAAATTCTCTACAAACATTCTAAAAGATATTCTGCTTTTAGGAACAGCTTCCTCAACTAGCTTATATATTATATTTAATGAACACCAGGGACAGACATAGGAAGGAGAACTGAAAATGTGGAAATGGTGCTTACTATGCTAAGATACACACAGATTTCCATGTACCCTGGGAACCTGCGTCCTCATGCATACCTGTGCTGTTATTTTTTGACTATTATTAAGTAGTCCACGCTAGCAGATATTACAGTCAACTGTGCCATCCAAGGGCATGTTCTTACCCTCTTTCAGGGTAGAAGATGTATGCATGTAGACTTCTATTGTCAAAAACAATATCACAGTTGGTAAAATTTCTGAATGAAATTCAAGAATACAACAGTTTTCTAGGCTAGCCTATGACCTATGGACATCAAATAACATGTAAGCCATATCTGTGGAGTCTGAAAATTTCATTGTACAGGAGATCCGAACATACAGTGCGAAGTGTTTAATCTCCAGGGTGAGCAAGTGCTCTTACCTGTGCTTATTTCAAAGCACCAAATCCACTAGACCTAACTCATTCTCACGTAAATATAACATTAATCTTTCCAGTAACTTCAGGAAACATTTAGCTTCATGTATTCAGGATACTTAAGATTCAGCCATCTTAAATACATAAGCTGTTGTTAGTTCTTTCTTCTTTCTGACAAAGTAATTTGTAGATTTGCAGATCTTAGAATGGCTATTGCTTTCATAGGATAAAAATTCTCAGCCTAAATTGAAAAAAAATCTATATATAAGCCTGAAGTGTATGAATTCTGAAGCTCTCTGTAAGTTTCTTTTTGCATAGCCCTTTGCACATCAAATGTACTAGATTTGAAGAAAAGGAGAGTCAGTCAGGAATCTAAGAGTCCAACTACATCCTTCTTGGTTATAATTATCACCAAAAAAGGGAAGTAAAAATGGAATTTGCCTAATAGTTCTATTCATGAGGAAAACAGAAAGGAAGCCAGTTAATGTGACTATAATAAATACAGTAAAGCCTTGCCAATGAAATGAATAGGTACATTCTTAGTAAGTAAAAAATGTATAGTATATTTATTGAAATGGAAAAGAGCATTTAGACATTGTGCAAGGCTGCTCTAGAAATTTAAGTACGCAGTTACAAATGCTCTAAAGTAATGTGTTAATATTGTAGAACTTATTAAAAAATTCTGAAAACAGACATTGTTAACAAACATAAGCTTTCAGAGCTGTTTAATTCAACAAGAAATGTCAGCTGCAGAAGCTCTCCATTCTAGTCTTAACCAAGGGTATTTGCTGGCATATAACCATGTCCCCCAGTACTACATCTAAATGTTTCTTGAAATCCTACAGGGACAGTGACTCAACCACCCCCCTGAGCAGCCCATTTCAGCACTTGACTACTCTTTCAGAGAATAAATTTTTCCTCACATCCAACCTGAACCACCTCTGACACAACTTGAGGCCATTCTCTCAAGTCCTATTGCTAGTTATGCAAGAGAAGAGGCTGAAGCCCACCTTGCAACAACTTCCTTTCAGGTATTTGTAGAGAGGCTCTCCCCTGAGCCTCCTCTTCTGCCAACTAAACAATTTCAGTTACCTCAGCTGCTCCTCATTAGACTTGTGCTCCAGACCCCTCACCAGTTTTGCTGCCTTTCTTTGGACATATTTAAAGGTCTTGATATTTTTCTTGTAGTTAGTGGCCCAAAATTCAACACAGTAAATAAGGTACTGCTTCACCAGAGCTGAATTCAGGGGGACAATCACCTTCCTGTTCCTGCTGACTACACTATTTCTGGTACAAGCCAGGATGCCATTGGCTTTCTTGGCTACTTAAGCACAGTGCTGGTTCATGTTTGGCAAAGGTTTCCTGCCACATCCAATAATGGATAGAGATTCTCCTTACTCCACCTCTTACTATTTATGTATTTATATATATATATTTTGTTCTCTTTTACTACAGTGGCTAAATCTTTAAATGGATACTATAAAATATTGTAGAATTTAGAAATCTGAGGGGTTTGGTTATACTGCAAAATAAACTAAAAAAAGATGAGGTATAGCATATTAATTTTGATTAGAATTAGAATATTTGGATCATTTAATCAGTATCATCATACAATTATTGTACACTAATAATTTCATATTCTTCTCTGTGAAGCTGAAGGCAACCTTCTCTTACAATCTCTTATGTCTTCCCTGTCTTTTACAGCAAATTGCCCAATTAGGTCTTTAGGTATGTATACTAAAATGTAATAAACACACACATACAAATGTTTCTTACTTTTTGTAGTAAAAGCTATAAAAACTAAAAAGGAGAAAAAAAAACAACCACCCAACCTGCCAGCAATCCAGTTTAATCAATAATATTTTCCTGAACTGCTGAATGAAATTAAACCAGATGAATTCAGATGAGTTGGCTAGCATGAAAAATGCAGATTGCTGTTGACAGGTAAGTCTTTGTTATAAATAAGAGTGAACGATATTAAGTTTGCCTCGGTCAAATTGGCTGTCATTTGATTATGTGATATCCAAAACAAGATATTAAGCGAGAATTTTAGAAGTAGACAAATAATTAATTTATAAAAATATACAATAGAATGAAGGTCTCCTTTATTACCTACAGAGTAAGGTATGTGCTTTATGGATTGTCAAGCCAATCTGTGGAAATGAAGTTTTCTATTTGTCACTTTTTAGAATTCTTAAATATATATTTTGAAAATTAAAGAAAACAGTATGACAATATGATGTGTTTTAAGCCACTAGAACAAAAAAAAAAAAAAAAAAAGAAAAAGAAAAAGAAAAGAAAACAAAAAACAAACAAACAAACCCAGCATTTAAAGTGAAAGGAAAAAAAACAACAAAAAGCTCATTTATCTAAGTCAGGAAAAAGAACAAACAGATAGAAAGTACAGCATTCTAAATTAAGACAGTGATGAGTGAATATGTGTTTTTCTTTTCTGCTAATTGTGTTGAAAGAAAAGTTTAAGAAAGAACGGTGATCATATTTGGAAACTGAAAATTCAATAAAAGATACTAGTTTAGAATCATTGAGACATTTTAAGTTGCAAGATGTCCAGAGTGTTGACGTACTTAAAAAGACACAAAGTCTAGCAGAGTCTCATTTGCTACTCATAAAGGAAGGTGAACTGTTAAGCCCATTCTGTTGCAATGCCAGAAGATGCATTAGTAAACACCACATGCTTGAGCCTATCTCTATTATTAAGACAGCGACAGTCACTACTGCTCTCATGGCATCTGTGTCTGTTCTCTCCCAAAACCCGTGATGTGTCCAGTTGAACTTTAATTGTTCACTGAGAGAAAAGCTGCTTTTATGATTTACTGAAAAACAAAACAACAACAAAAGAGAAAGCCCAAACCACAAACGCACACACACACAAAACAACTCCAAAACAAAATGAACCCACCTCACCCCTTCCGACCCCACCCAGAAGTTAACTAACACAAATATCTCAAGAAACAAATAATGAGCAGTGTACTGTTTTTATTGTACTCCCTACCTAAGTACTCCCATTTATCATCCTGACCTGACAGAAGGTTAGGCCAGAACCAAAGATCTTTGTTTCTAAAGGACCATTCCCATCCTTCCCAGATTACTGACTGTAATTTGGTCATGCTCACTTCTCCTCACTTCCTCACACGTTCGGCCAAATACATCACAGATGAACCTGATTACACAAAGAAGCCATACAATACTTTCCTTCCATATTGTATGAGAAAACCATCATGGGCTGTACTTAGTTGCCTAATCTGTAGTGAGCTAAGATGCTCTTATGTTGGTAAATTTGTAATGTCTATCTAGAAAATAAATAAAAATTATACAGAAAAGAATTAAATCCAACAAATTCTCAACCTATTAACTGGCAGAAGTCCATCAGTTACCTCAGAACACTGCTCCCTTCTCAGTCTTTGCCTTCTTTTATAGAAAAAAATGGTGTACAAAAAGGCAAGACAACATCTGGACTGCACTACAGGGCTTAACCCTCTTCCAGGGACCAAAGAAAACTCCTAAAATTCAGAGCAGAAACAATACCAAGTCACATAATAAGCAAGCTGATCAACACAATTCTTAAAAGTTTGCTTGAGGAAAAAGAAATAATCTGCAGCTGATTCTGAAACAAAAGAGATGAAATAAGTAACAGATCAGGATGACTGTTGCTACTCAGTAGTGCTGAGGATCTTTTGCTTTCTTGTGGCAGGGGAACTATAGAGAAGGCATGGGGTGCTGGGTGGGGTTGGAGCCATGACAGATGGCCTGGATTGGCCAAGGGGATATTCCATACCTTGTGATGTCATGTGAAAGGCCATAAAGCTGTGGATTGTTGGTTAAGGGAGGTGGCTGCTGCTCAGGGATTAGCTGGGTATTACTGGGAGTCAGCTGGCAGGTGGTGAGACTATACACACACACACACACCTCCATGTACACAGATACATAACTATGTATTTGTACAAACGATGTATTTTTTTAAATTCTATTCATTTTCTGTCTTTACCTAAACCCACAGACTATTCCTTTCCTCTCCCTCCCATCCACTGCGTGGGAAGCGAACAAGTGGCTGCCTGTTTGTTTAGATAACAACAATGTAGTACTATCATTTTAAAGTAGTGTGAAATTTAAGAAATTTCAGACACATTATTAAAGCCTGGGAATATAAGGTAAGATGATTTTTTAATTTAAAAATGCAGTTTTTATAGATCTATGTTCTCAGACTATTTTGACTTCTTTGAAACCATAAGTCTTCATATGTTGATGAAATTAAATTATAGAATGGCTTAGGTTGAATAGGACCTTAAAGATCATCTAGTTCCAATCCCTCTGCCATGGGCAGGGTTGCCAACCCCTAGATCACTCTGCCCACGGCCCCATCCAGGCTGACCTTGAATGATTCCAGGGATGAGCCATCCACAGCTTCTCTGGGCAACATGTTTCCAGTGCCTCATCACTCTCTGAATAAAAAATCTCCTCTTAATATCTTATCTAAATCTGTACTCCTTCAATTTAGAGCCATTAACCCTTGATCTATCACTACAATTTTTCAAAGAATGACATAGCACATCTCATTTTACCTGATCTGTAAACAATTAAGATAGTTTAGTATGAAGAAAACAGACATCTTTAATGAAATAAAATCACATAAGAACACAAACAATATACTAAACAGTCACTGACATGCACTTATTTCAGAGTGAAATTCTTAGCTTGAGCAGTGAAGACTACAACACCTGGAATTCATTTGCAGTGATTAAATATCTGTATTGTTACACAGAAGTGAAATCCAATTCCATGAACTTTTGCAAAAAATTTCAGAAAGCCTCAGATTTATTATTGGAAAGACAAGGAAGCAGAGTGCTCAAAGACTGACAGACTGAAAGTGATGAAAACACGAAAGGTAATCTCTAAGTTTTATTGCCAGATGTTTTTGAATTAAAGGGTTCCAGACAGTATGCCAGACAAGCAGCTATTGAAGTAAGGACAAGAAGAATGGAATACCTTGTTCCTACCCTTACAAAATCTAAGCCTCACTTTTCTCTCTGATCTTTGCCTTCTTGTTTTGGTAATTTGCTTAATTTTTAATGACATGTGCTTCTAAACAACATAGAAATCCTTCCCAAAGATTCTTGTGCATCTTAGAATGGGTTTCTCTTCAAGTTTTGTTACTATCAGTGTTGAATCAGCTTCCAGAAGATTAAAGCCTCTTTTATACTCTGACATTTCTTGACATTCCCTGCATTTCTGATTGATCCAGCAGGAATTCCATTTAATCAGGTTGAGATAGGTCATTACTACCAAAGAGCTAGTAAATGGAAAAGGTAGGTTGAAAACATAGCATTTAGGTAAGAACATTAAATTAGCCTAATAATTAACTTTTTTTTTTTTTCCTTCATTTGATTGATGCTAGATGAATTTAACCTGTCTCTCCTACCCACACCTAATAATCCCATTTAACCTGTTCAAGAGAACCTAGCTCCTTTGCTCATCTGTTCAACATGTACCCCTATTCATCCTTTGCAACTGATCCATGAAAATGAAAGTTAGGATTAAAAAAAAGTGTTAGTTTGTTCTTCCCCCCAGCACCCCCTTCATAATGTGAAGAAAATTATTTCCAAACAAAGCCCTCAAAGAGCTCTTTAAAATAGTGTAATTAGAGATAAAATTAAACTTAGTAACAGTTCACCAAACCATAAATCCCTGGACTTTGAAATCCTTCTGGAGAAGTTAATAGAGGAGCGTCTTTTGATGATGAAGAATTTCACTATACTCACTTCTTCGATGGATCTCACTTCTGCATTGATGGCAACTACTCCGTCATTCACACAAGTAAGCAAATAAAAATAGCTAATTGAGCTATTTCCTCTACTGAAGGGGAAGAAAGAATTACTGCTATTTTTATCTGTAGTAGCTGAGTACCTTCTGATTACTTAGAAAAAACTGGGTCATGAAATTTATCTGAAAGAGAAACCACATCACAGCAGAATACCTGAAAATATTTTAAACTTTGTGTTGAGTTAGACCACTGTTATTAATGAATGCATTAATACACTTAAATGTACTTTTAAAATCATCTACCAAGCTACCATTTCCATAGCTAACAATTTTAGCAGGCTGAAGATAAATTTAATGTTTTATCTGAAATATTGAGGAGAGAAAACAACCTGAAGAAAAGGGAGTTTTCTGAAAAAGCATCAGAATTTTCCACTCAGTACAGACAAACAATAAGGATATTGTCATGTCAGGACTTCTTCCAGAGTTCAAGAATCCATTGGAAATATCATCTATAATGTCTGTTTATTTAGAGGCTTACAAGTGAAGCTTACAAGTGAAGCTTACACTTGTTAAGAATTGCAGTCAACTCTTGCCCTTAGACTGCTGCCAGTCTTTGAAATATAACTGAATAACTCTACCTTTTTGCTACTCCAAGAGACCACTCATTTTTGCTATTCAGCAAGTTCAGCAATCGCTAGGGTGAAAGCTTTGAGCAATAGAATGGGTAAGAGGAATATTAACACAGGGTTGTGAAGCTGCCATTTGTTGGTTTCTTCAAAATTCAGTTATTCTCTTGTGAACTTCTGTATGAAAGTATGTTAGTTGCTTCAAGACACAAACAACAATTTGGTCTGATGTTGTGTTTTGAAACCTAACTGAAGTATATTGCTTTTATTGCACCGTCAGAATAAAGAAAGAATTCCAATATATTCAGAAGAATATCTACATAATTTATACTTTTATAAGACAGGACATTATTTTTCAAGACATAATAGTTATACCTTACAAAACCACAAAAGCTTTATTTGCCTAGTATAATTTGGAGACTAGAGATAATAGACTAACCTGGTGCAAAACTCTCACTGCAATGCCATATTCTTTTTCCTATATTGTCATAGACGGTATGCACACTCAAAACAGATGTAACATAGTCATCTATTTTTCTTTGAGGAGATATGAAAGAAATTGATTTCATGGCTGGTGAACGAAATAGGTAGACTACATACAAGTTGATCAAAAAGTGGAAGTGGATATAGTTTTCTTGAAATACCTTGAAGAAACTGCAGGCCCAATTTCTTAAGTGGAATTTGAATGACAGTGACATCTGTTGGAATGGGAACATGTTTCAATATAGAGAAACCAGACAATTTACGTAGTACATCAAGGACAATTTTTTGCAACTTGTGGAGATGCATGGAGAGTAAGCCTACTTGAGATATAAGAAAGAATGGAGAACTGTGGCAGGTAAGGGTAACCTTGGTAAAACTGAGAATCAGACAGTAGATTTTAAGATTGAGAGGCAAGAGGAAGTCAAGTAGTAGAAAAGTGATCAAACCAAAGGCTACTCCCTGAAGACTGTGTTCAGGAAACTGATAGTCAGGATCTCACGGGAGGTGATCTTGAAGGACAAATGGCCCAAAAGAATTAGTTGACAATGGCAGTCAACTCAAAGTACAAAAAACATTCATAGCAATGTGTGAAAGGTCAAGCATAAAAGCCAGCTTGGCTGAAAGGAGAGTCCATGGAGCAAGGAAGAAGCAAGGTACATAGTTTGTAGCTAGGGAATTTACAATTAGATACTACAAAGAAATGTCCCCAGTGAAGGCAATCATACAAAGCAGAGGCATAGCACCATCCCCATCCTTGAAAATATTTAAAACACTACTGGTTGAAGTGCCAATCTAAATTCAGGTATGGACCTTTATGGGTCTTCAAGTATTTTGTGATTCTAAGATGTCAGAATATTTCATTAAAACTCCATTAAAGTGATCTACATTAGTAATAAAAATGAAAATGATAGACACTTATAAAAGCTTCTCAGTAAGCAATTTTTTGAGAAGATCAAAAGTCCTAAAAATGTTAACGGTGAATCTACTGAATAAGTATGAAAGAATTCAAGACAAGAAAAGATTGAACTACAGGGTCCCGTTTCCTGTTCAAACATAGTATATATTTTTCACGCTGCAGTCAAATTCTCATGGTGGAACTAGACAAAATACTGTCAGAAACTAAGGACATCACTCTAACAATTCAATTACTGATAGCTTTCACCCTAACAATTTCTGTGCATCTAGGAGAAAAAAAAGATATTTGGAACTCCCTTATGATGGCATAAAGGAATTTGAGATTTGGATGCCAACTCACTTGGGTGCCTTTGGAAATGTAACTGTTTATACAAGGTTCCCCCCCTCCACTCTCTTTTCCCCCCCCCTAAGTACAAAGGGCATTTAATAATTGGGAAAAAGTATCCCAGATTATGTAGTCAAACTGTTGCAAGTGACTGCTTCATCTGTCATTTGCTCTATCAGTTGGCATGCCTGCAGATAAAGGAGTTGTAGTGCCATGAGATGAGTAAGAAATTGGGTCCAATATAGTACGCTAGCAGACTGATTCTCTCTCTCACACGCCTTCATATTGTGTGGGACTGCCAAACCCAATCTAGAAGAAATAGTGGATTTGAATGTTAGAAGAGATGAGAGTGGGGGGATGGGGGAGTATAACAATATCATTAAAGTTGCCTGCAGTTCTAAGTTTAATTCAAAATATGGATAAGCAGCTCAAGGAGCTTTGGCATTTTCTTCC